GAATGAGATTTCTATTGAAAGATCCAAAAAGCACTTTTCTACAACTGTATTCATGTTTTGTTTGATGGTATGATACTGTAGCCGTCGCAGAATCCATTGCCTCTGCTTTCAGCAAAATACCACTACATCCTTACTTTGGTTTCACTTCATGTTATGTCAGGAATATCAGAACTTGATAAAAATTAAGTTCTTTCTCAGTGACTTTGTTTGTGCTTCTATGTGGTTACCAGTGCTGACTTCAGTGCTTCTAACAGTGGATCTGAAAGTGGTGAGACAAAGCATTTCTGAATCGCTGCAGAGCAGAGCTAGCATAAGATCAATGATCGGAGACCTTTGTAAGATCAACTAAAGAACACATAAAAATATGTCAATGGCATTTTCTAAACTTAAATGTGACCCTGGACCACAAAACCAGTCATAAGGGTCAATTTTTGGAAATTGAGATCTATACATCATCTGAAAGCTGAATAATTAAGCTTTCCATTGATGTATGGTTTGTTAGCATAGGACAATATTTGGCTGTGATACAGCTATTTTAAAATCTGGAATCGTGAGGGTGCAAAAAAAATCAAAATATTGAGAAAATCGCCTTTAAAGTTGTCCAAATGAAGCTCTTAGCAATGCATATTACTAATCAAAAATTAAGTTTTGATATATTTACGGTATGATATTTACAAAATATCTTCATGGAACATGATCTTTACTTAATATCCTAATGATTTTTGGCATAAAAGAAAAATCAATAATTTTGACCCATACAATGTATTTTTGGCTATTGCTACAAATATACCCCAGCGACTCAAGACTGCTTTTGTGCTCCAGGGTCACAAATGTCTGGGGAGCGCTCAATGAATTGTATTAACAACACTTCGCAATTTCCGCTTCCAACAAATCCACATTGCTTTTTAATTTATTTTCCGGAAAAAAAAAAAACTTGAATAGCTGTTCCCAAACACTAGAATATGGAAATAACTTTTTATCAAATGAAGCGAGTTTATGATTTTAACAAGAACAAAAACCTGCCAATAAGCTCAGGAAAGTGGTTTT